GAGAGATGAGGTGGGGGAGAGAGAAAAATAGGAGAAGGAAGATATTGAGAGAATATTATTAGAAGAAAATCTTTCAGGGAAGGAAATCATTTCAAAACCACAAACTGATTTGGTACAGTCTTTTTAAAAAGCAACTGAAAGTATTCTTGGTGTGAGGCTGGGGCTTCTAGGGAGGCATCTGGGATAATCTGAACAACTGGGTGGTGGTCCCTGGAAACTTACAGGATGGGTCCAGCTTGTCATTGCTGGTTCGCTGTTGCCCTCTGCTGGTGAATCTGTTATCATCCTAGGAAACTGCAGGCACTGAACTCCTCAGGTACCCTCTTCTTACCTGAGATCTAGGCTCCTTCCCATCATGTATGGCAGGGGTGCTTGTGCTGAGGAACAGCAATGACAAACAAGAAGTGGTGAAAAATCCTTTGCAGGAAACATTGGCTCTCAGAACAGAGGGGATAGATCTCATGGTTCTATTTTTCACTCCATTCCCTGCCTATGTGCTGAGTCCCTGTTCTCTTTTTGGCTCTGGTTAGGCACAGGGAAGAGACCCAGATATGAAAATAAATGGATTCTACGCTGGATGGATTCCCATTTAATGTGTGTAAAGGGAATAGGTAGAATAGATACAGAAATCACTATAATATGGGGAACGTTCTGACTAGGGCCACAGTGGAGGCACTGATACAGGCTTGTGTGTATTTAAAGGAAGAGAGAGGACATATACTTGGGGATAAGAAAGGTAAGACTCTATAAGATAGGAAATACTTGTGCTGGGAACCTGAATGATGGTAGTATTTTTATTTTCAAAAATCTCTTTTCTTGTAGAGGTAAAATATATTTCTTATAGAATGGATTCAACTCTGGTAAATTAAAGCATGAAAAGCATTAAAATAAACATTTGACATCCTTCCACTCAAAAATAATCAACCTTAAAATTGGCTGTGTACATTATTTTGCTGCCATTGTTACAAAATTCCATCTATACAGTATGTAGCTTGTGTATCCTACTCTTTCTCATTATTATGTCATCAACATTACTGATTCTTTAAAAAAAAATTTTCTTAGTTGTAGTTGGACACAATACCTTCATTTTATTTATTTATTTTTATGTGGTATCTTTCATGTGCTAGGCAAGGGCTCTATCACTGAGCCACAACTCCAGCCCCCTGATTATTTTTTTAATTGTGCCACTTTATGGGGGAGTATTTCAGTGTATAAAACCAAGCATTGAATTCCCCAGGCAGCATGAGCCAAGCCAAGGTTGCACAGAGCAACCTAGTTCATTTCACAAATATTTTTTTTGAAACCTACAACCTTGGAGACACAATAGGAAGATCTGACTCTGTCTTTGCAGGGTTTACAGCATAGAAGAGGAGACATGAATTATATAATCATAGACATCACTGTAAAGTTTCAGCTGGGACAAGTACCATAAAAGGGAAATGTAGGGGCTGTGTAAGTGTATATTGGAAAGAAGAGAAATGGACACAGAGGTTTGGGAAGGTGTGCTGGAGTAAGTGATGGTGGAGGTCAGTTCTGTAGGAGTTAATTAGTTGATGAAGATAAGCAAGAACATTGTATGCAAAGGGAAAAGCAGGTGCAAAGGCCCCTTAGTTGAAGGGTGCATGTTGAAAACCAAGAAATTGAAATGAGCTGAAGGAGGAGAGAGCAGAGCGACTTGGCCAGAGATGAGATTGAAGTAGTGGTGAGGCTTAACACTGCAAAGCATTTTAGTTAACATTTTTTTTGTATTTATATATGACAGCGGAATGCATTACAATTCTTATTACATATATAGAGCACAATTTTCCATATCTCTGGTTGTGTACATAGCAGGTTRACAATTTTTTGTCATTTCTCATAAGAGCCACAGAGAGCTGAGGTGAGCAAAGCCAAGGTGGGGAGGTAGAGAGGAGATTTATTTTATCTGAAGAGTCACCTCCCTGCAGTAGCATGTTGGAAGGGTGCAAGAACAGATATAGGTGATCCAGGTCCAGGTGGTGAGCATCCCAGACACAGTGAGAGCATGAGGGCAGTGGTGTAGGCAGGAAGTAATGGAATACAAGCCAGGGTGATGGGGATGGAGAGGGAGGGTAGTGGGTGGGTTTKAGAGACATTCTGGGAATAAAATAGGAACTGGCACAGGAGGTAAGGAAATGTGAGAAGCAATGGACAACCCCAAAGTCTCTAGTTTGCCCACCTGGATGGAGAGAGAGTTCTTCCTCAAGACAGGGAACACCAAAGAAGGACAAGGTTGGAATAGGACAGTCATGAGTGATGTTTTGAGGAAGGAGTTGCTGGAGGGAACAGTTCCTGGAGTGGTACCTGTTATCACATCTGCTCCTCCCAGGGTTTAATGACACTTGCACAGCACACCAAAGGGGCCTCTTTTTGGAGGTGATGACACTAGGGAGAAAGCAAGCCCCTTGTCTCAGTATCTGAGTCAGATCCCCATGCTCTTATATCCTATTCGTAAAACCCTGGGCAAATCATTTGTAAGTTCTACGGGATTCAGTTTCCTTGTCTTTACAATGAGTGGTAACATTCAGTTAGTTCTAAAGGGTTATTATGGGGACTCAATGAAAGCTTGGTTATTTAAGGACTTTGTAAACCTTTGGGCTGCCCAAACTCAATGTATCATTGTTATTTGTATTTCTTTATTTATTGTTATTCTTGCCATCCAAACTTCAAGGGTATTAATATCAGGAATATGTAATTCAGTGTTTTCTGCATGAGTGCTTTAGGGAAAAAAGGTGTGATTGAAGTCTAAATAAATAAATATACCACCCAAGAGCTAGAGATGGTGGCCCTAAACTATTTATAAGCCCGTGTGTTTACTTGAATTCAGACATTCCGGCATGTAAATTATGCAGAGTCTATGTCACAGCAGAGCACTCTGTGTTCCTAAAAAGAATTCTCCTTTTTTTTTTCCCCCGGAATCCTTTACCTTTTAAAATAAATCTCATTATGGAGTGCTGACATTTTCAGTAAAACCATTTAACCAAAAGCAGCAGTTATTTTAGACTAAAAACAAGTCTGGTTTATTAGGCAGCAGCTTATAACGTACTGCTAAGTAGATACGATCTATTTAGAGAAGCTTATGTAGATCTCTGAGAAGACATTTCAGAATTCTCGTCTCTTCCTGACTAAGATTGAGAGTGCTAAACAGACTATCAAGATTTCTCTTTCTCTCTGTAGAGTAGGAGTTGAATACCACTGCGTGTTAGAGGGGGTGGAATCCAAAGAACCAAGATTTTAACAGATCTATGGGGTTCTATTCTGTTTCTTTCCACTGGGTGCCAAGTCTATCACCATAKTTTAGCAGAGGGACTTTGGATATAACCTTCCTCAAAGGGTCAGGATGGATGTAGAGAGAATTTTATAAATATTCAATGACTGCCATCCACCAGGACTTCAATTAGTGATCTCATCCTTCTTTTCCTCCATCTTCGGCTTTTCCCTCTTTCTGTATTCTACATCTCCTTTGCTCTTTCATGTTTCTTCCCGTTYGTCTTCCCGTTGAGCCAACACACCTTTTTGGCCTTTTAGTATGAAATGTGCTGAAACAATTCTAAGAGGTCACAAAGTATGCTACCCTAAAGACTAACAGCAGCAAAAAGTGCTGTGGGTCAGGGGAATTACAGAAATGYTCACTTTTTCTAACCAGAAACCACTGTTCTGATTCCTTCTTGTTCTTTCATGGAGGAATTCTTAACTCTCAGAATTTCTCGTGTGTGCCCTGAAGGACTCTCAATTCTGAAGCAAATAAAATCAATGAATATTTATCTAGTGTTGATTTTGAAGAATCCCACTTCACTTGTTCAGCTATATTTCTACCAGAAGGATATGAGCTTTCTAGATAATTTTGGCCTCTGTTTAAGTCTCCAGATAGTGATGTGGCCGTTGGAGATCAGCATAAACTAGTGAGTAAATTTTGTGAGTTAGAATAAAGAGCTATTTGGGGTTAAGTCTCCAGATAGTGATGTGGCCGTTGGAGATCAGCATAAACTAGTGAGTAAATTTTGTGAGTTAGAATAAAGAGCTGTTTGGGGTGTCCTTGGAGGAAGATGTGCTCCATGAAGGCTTCCTAGAGAAGATGTGGAGATGTATACATCAGTCCAATGCCACAGGATGCAGACTTGGTATTCCTCTAATGGATTCTGCCGTGGGTAATCAACTTTGAGTTCTGTGATGATAAAACATTTTCCTGTCATTGCCTACCTTCCCTCCACAATTAGTCATGGGTTCAGAGAGAGAGAGAGGAGGTGACCTTAGATACTGTTCAGTCCCTCTTCCCTCCGATATGATCCAACCTCATTGTCTTCTGTGCTAGGTGTTTCAGCAAATGCCATTGTCTTAAACTTGGGAAGGCCATGTCATCAACTTTTATGCCCTGTGATGACCCCTGCAGGATAGACCACTGGAACAACGAGAAGGAGAAGATTCTGCTGGTCACAGACAAGACACTCTTGATCTGCAAATATGACTTCATCATGCTCAGCTGTGTGCAGGTGCAGCGGGTTCCCCTGAGTGCTGTGTATCGTATCTGCCTGGGCAAGTTTGTCTTCCCTGCCATTTCACTGGACAAGTGAGTATGGTGTCTGAGACTTGGAGAAGGGGTGCAGTAGGGAGAGGCAGGCAGGGAAATCAGTAACAAAGTCAACTCAGTAGTGTATGCTTGGAGAACTGAGGGAAATAGTGAAATTCTGCAATTGAATGCATCAAATTATTGAGTTCCTACTCTATGTCAGGCACCAAAGGTCTCCTTGTCCCAGCCCCTTTAAGCAAATGTGCACTTTAACAGGAGAACCTGACAAGTAATTAGCYAACTGTAAAGTAGGAAGAGCAGTGAGAACAAGGAAGAAAGGTTTTTAACCCAATCCATGGGGCCCATAGTTAGSATTACTTTTCTGGGGGAGCACTTGAGCCAATATTTGTTTTTAGCTAGKATTTAGCCAGGGAAAAATAATCTCACCCTTATCAGAATGACAATTATCAAGAATACAAGCAACAACAAATGTTGGCGAGGATGGGGGGGAAAACTTCATTCATACATTGCTGGTGGGACTGCAAATTGGTGCAACCAGTATGGAAAGCAATATGGAGATTCCTCAGAAAACTAGGAATGTGAACACCATTTGACCCAGTTATACCCACTCCTAGGTATATATCCAAGGGAGTTAAAATCAGCATACTGCAGCAATGCAGYCACATCAGTGTTTATAGCAACTCAATTCACGATAACTAAGCTATGGAACTAACCTAGGTGCCCTTCAACAGATGAATTGGATAAATAAAATATGGTATATATAGACAATGTAATATTAATCAGCCATAAAAATTACTTTATGACATTTTCTGGTAAATATATGGATCTGGAGACTATCATGCTAAGTGAAATAAGCCTATCCCCCAAAACCAAAGGTCAAATGTTCTCTCTGATATGTGGATGCTAATACATAACAAGCTGGGAGTGGRAGAGAATAGAAATTCACTGGATTTGACAAAGGGGGATGAAGGGAAGGGATGGGGATAGGAATAGAAAAGACAGTGGAATGACTCTAACAGGACTCTTATAGGTACATAGGAATATACTACAGTGAATCTCCACATCATGCACACCCATAAGACGGGGATCCTAATTAGAATATGATATCATGCTTGTATAAGTATGTTAAAATATACTCTACTGCCCTATATAACTAAAAAGAACAAATAAAATTTTAAAAATCTAAGAACCAGCATTAACATTCTAAGTAAAGGGAAGAACTTAGTCAAAAGATTGGAAGTAAGAAAATGTGTAACACCTTTGGGAATTCAGATTATTTTGAAAAGCCCAGCGGATAGAACTCAAGATGGCTGATAGCTCTTTCTTTTGGGAGTCTCCCCTGGAAGCTCAGTACYGGGAGATCAACTGTCTCAGAGATGTTGATAGTTATGGAGGGAATGAGTGAGCTCTATAAAGAAGGATTATTGAACTAAGTTCGTTCCTGTATGATCTTGGAAAGAAGCACATTTGCTAAACATTTTAGATTTAAGCCCTAGGACAACAGTCTTCGTCTAAGATAGAATGTGAGTTCTTCCCACTGAACTGTGAGCTCCGTAAGGACAAGTGTCATTTTTTTTTTAAGGTATTGGTGAAAAAACACAGTTTTATCAAGTGATTGGTTTTTCTTATGCAAAGCTTACCATATTGAAAATCTACTTTTTATTTATTCTTTTCACAAGTCAAAGAAGTGGTTAATTCCTTTAGTTTATAAACTTTTAAAAAACTGGTAGATTTTTCAATAATATRTACATTGGAAAAATATATTTGAACATCACAAAAGATGTTTAATTAAGACTTTTCATTTCTACCCCAGACCCTCAGTCCAATATTCTCGCCACAAATGATAAYAGTTTCTTGTCTATTTTTAAAGGAATGGTCTATAAACATAAAAGAACAAAACCCTTCTGTGCATATACATGGGTATTTATACATATATCAAAGTATTTATCCGTATGTGCTTATTTATTGTGTGTTATTTTACCCAGGGGGAGCACATGTCATAAACTGTCCTGTCTCATGCTCTGTGTCCAATGACATACCTTGAAGACAAATTGTCTAATCTTATGTAGATCAATCTCAGTGTTTAATAGTGCAGCATATTATGTTTTAAGTCTAACCTATTTATCCAGCACCACATYGACAAATAAATATTTATTTTTACCTCAAGTACTACCAACAATGCTGCTATAAATATTCTTGCCTGTAGGACATATTTTACACACATATGCAAAGGATTTGTAATGTGGATTTCCAAAAGYGGAATTATTAGGTCAAAGTCATGTGAATATTAACTGACATAGATTGCCAAATTGCCTTCCAAACAGGTGATATCAATTSATGCTCCCACAAAGCCTTGAAATATTCTTGGATACACATTCTAACCAATATTGTGTATGATGAAAATTATCTTATTTTTAAAATTTGTGTCAGTAGAATTTGAAGGGAGTCTAACATGTTTTTCTTTAGTTAGAAAGTAATTTTATTTATTTTTCTGTGACTTTTTTTATACCACAACCCATTATTTTTTCTCTATTAAGATACTGATTTTTTTCCTTAATGACTTGTCAGTGCTATTTATGTATCAAAAAACTTCATTTGTTTTCTGAAGATACATTGCAAATATTTTTTCCCAGTTTTTCATGTCTCTTTTAACTTTATGATRTTATTTTTGTGACCTTTAAGTGTCAAATTTGTCAGTATTTTAATGCTTCTAACTTTGTATCTTTTAAAGAATGACTTTCTCCATAATAAAATCGTAAAATAAATTTCCAAGGTTTTTTCTAGTGGTTACATAATTTTATTTTTAGACACATTTAAACATATTTAATCTAAATTTCCTGTTTCAAGGAAAAGATGTAATCACCTTTTCAGCTGGTATGCTAGATTTTTCAGCATCATTTATTCAGATTTCACCTTTCCCCCGATGATTTGAAATGAAGCTATGTCATATATTACTCTACTTTGTGTATTTGTGACTATAGGTTTTCAATTCTATTCCATTTACCTATTTTTTTAAATAAAAAAGGCTTTATTTTAATCTTTATTATGTTTTGGTATCTGATGGAGTTACTCTCCATTTATTCTTCTTCCTAGAACTTATATATTTATGAATATTTATTTTACATCAGTTTGCCTAATTTTTAAAAAAAAWTTTTGTTTTGAGACTGAGGATGTAACTCAGTGGTACAGAGTTTGCCTAGCCTGTATGAGGCCTTGGGTTTGAWTACTAGCATGTAAAATGAAAATCACATTTATAAATATTTTCAAATATAAGATCAGTCTTTCATTCCTGATATAAGCTCATTGCTGGATTCAGTTTGCTAATATTTTATTGGGTACTTTTGTGTTTGTGTTCATGAGTGGAATTAGTCTGTTATTTTTATTCTTTTGTAATGCCTTTACTAGGTCTTAGTATTTAGAATATGTTGCCCACATAAAACAAGTTAGGAAGTATTCTCTCCTTTATTTTCTAAAAGATTTTCATCTTTTATTTTCTTGAATTTTATCTTTTACTTTCTTAAATTTTATCTTTCCTTAAAAGTATGATGGAGTTTATGAAGGRATTCATGTGGGACAGGTTATCTATTTCTAGGTGGGAAAGTTCTTTAAATTATTTGTTTTATAAGTATTGATTTAGTTATATTTTTTATTTGGTTTAATTTAATTGGTAAGTTATATTTTTAAAGAGATGTGAAGTTTATTTAAGTTGTATCTRAAGGTATAAAGTTGCTACTGATATTCCCTRTTGCCCTTTAATAATGGTAAGACAGTTTCCTCTTTTTTTTTTTCCTAATAATGGTGATCTGTGTCCTTATTTTTTGTTGTTGTTGATGATGATCTCATCAATTTTGTCAGTTTTGATGAGAACATGTGTTCTTTTAATTTGACTAATTTTCTGATTACTGTTTAGTTGATTTCTACTCTTTTCTATGTTATTTMTTCCTCTACTTACTTTGAGTTTTATTTTCTTCTTTTTTGACTGCTTAAAGTGGAACCCAAGGTTTTGATTATAGTTTTTTTCCCTAATTTCCTAATAGAAGCATTTAGAGTTATGTATTTTCTTATGAGAACTCATTTTGCCACGTCACATAGACATTGATATGTTATATTTCTATTTTCACCCAGAGATACTTTCTAATTTTTCTTGTTGAAAAWCCCATGAATACGTTAGAGGTTACATTGGCTCATTTTCARATATTTTGTGCTTTTCTAAATATATAACTTAATTTTAATTAAAAGAAACTACTGTCTTTAATTTGAATTCTTATAAATATATAGAGATTTATTTTATGGGCTAAACTCTGRCTTATCTTTGTGAATGTACCATGTGCAATTGAAAAGAATTCTATTTGTATTTTCTATAAATATAATATCCTAATTTATTAGCATAGTATGTCTTTACTGACTATTATCTAGTTTTATAATAGTTACTGAGGCAGTTGTTAAAATATATTATTATGAGATTTTCTAGTACACACTTTAATTTTGTTGATTTTTATTTGATGCATTTTGAGAGTCTTCTGTTAGATTTAGGCACATTGACAATCAGAATTTCTTCTAWAAAAATGAGCCTATTTTCATTGTAAAATGTTTCTCATTATCTTTGGCAATACTAAGTGTCTTAAAGACTGTTTTAAAATCAGATATTATTGTAGCCACTTCTTCATTTTTATACTTACTCTTTGCATAGCAGATCTTCTTTATCCATTTACTGTCTGCTTATCTATGATCTTGCAGTTATTTATTTTTGTTACATAGTTAAATATTTATTTATATTTACATATTCACTTTTCCTGTAACTCTTCATGCATTTTGGTTATTACCTCTGGGTTCCTTTTCTCTACCTTATTTTAGACTAGGATTACTAGTGAGAAAGTCTGTATTTAAAGTGTGTTTCTTGTAGAGATCACGTAATTAGATCTTGCTTTTAATCTGTTCTGATGATATCTGCCTTTTGAGTGTTTTCCCATTTTGATAGTTTTTTATGTGATTGGAGTGAAGCCATTTATTATCTGTTCTCTGTGTTCCTTTTTTGTTTT